TCACATGCAAGGGCATCATATACTTCCACAGGTGTGGTACACCCTAAGGAAAACTGAACACAATTCTAAAATGACGGTTTCAGAGTCACTTCGAGACAGGAAATTATTATCCCCTTCCTTGTTTTCATAAACGCAGTATTTCGGAAAATGCATTTACCTCGAAACCGCTCCGCATTAATTAATAAGCTGGATTAGCTCCTATCTGCCAGCCCCAAGGGAGAGACACATAGGCCAGAGTGGGGAGAGAGGCGGCCACCAGCAAAGCCCGGGGATCTCCGCCTAGGCCCGGGCTGGGGGGACGCCGGGCGGGGAAGGGGCTTTGTACTGCAGTTCCGGGCCTGCGGCGCCAAGGGCGGGAAGCCGTGCTCTCGGCCTTCCCACGGGTGCGGAAGCCATGCCGCGCAGCCAGGCTCGCTCTCCCTCCGCTAGCACTTGCTCCCCTCGCCCTAGGTCGCAGGGATGGCGTCTCCCCACCCAACCGAGAAGCGTGCTCGGCCGCTGCCCGGGAGACAGGCTTCTTGACCCCAGTCGGCCCACAACCGGCCGGCTGCCCTCTCGCCCCGACCGGAGGACTGTCTCGCCGACCTCGCACGTTCCGGCCGACCCTTACCTCACATCATTTGGGTCCCGCCCGGTGAGCTTGCGGATATTCTCGTCTACGTTCTTGAGGCTCTCTTTGGCCTTTTCCAGCTGCTCCTGCAAAGTTCTCACCGCGACCGCCATCTTCTCTCTGCAGCAGGCTTCCCGACTGCTCTACAGGCCGCGCCGTGCCGCGCCGCGCCCGCCGCCAGACGCGGAAGGACTGACAGCCCGCCCCAGCCAATCACCGCAGGCTTTAGTTTTCGGTCTCAACCACCGAGGGACCGGAAGGGGAAGAAGCTCTCTGCTCCGTGACTCCGAGCCAATGAGAAGCCGGCACGGCGGTGAGCCCGCCCCCTCGCCATCTGCGGGTGGTTGCGCTCGGCTTCTTGCGCAGAGCGGGGAGGGACTATGTCGGTGTGCTAGATCAGAGTTTGCGCGTCTGCGAAGGCATACCCTTAAATCTGCCTTGCTGTCGACTTTATAGCGGTTTTAGACATCACTAACACCCATGGGACGGAAGCGACTGTGTCTTCCACCTTTTCCTCCACAAGAGATTTAATTAGGAAAGGGTATGGTAATTTATAGGTTGTTGCTCATGCCCAGATGGCAGGGTGGTCCAGGCTGCCTTCCATTAAAGTGAACTGAAAAGAACCACACTGCGAGTCTTCATCCTAACATCTAGTAATTGTTGTGGAAACTGCATATCGTTTTGCATGCCTTAGTCGTTAGAAATTAGAAACTTGGATAAAATGGTTATTAATAAAAAGGAAATTGAGCTTTCGGTTTCCCTAGGTCAAGTCAAATCTATATTGAGAGGTAATTTATGATCTGACCCGAACAAGACCACGACTGTCTTTTCACCGGCCTAGAGCCGGCTAATTTAATAGTGGGTCTGGGGAAGTGGCCAGTATTTTGCTGTGTGTGTTTCCCACACCTCCCTGCATTCCCAACATCGGAACTAGTTTTGTTCCAGAATAGATGTACAGATTTCAGAAAAGGTTGCAAAGAGATTAAATCCTTAGAGGATTGCTTCCTGAAAAAGAAAGAGTTTTTCCAGGCCGTGGTGGCACACACCTTTAATCTCAGCACTGGGGAGGTAGAGGCAGGTGGATCTCTGTGAGTTTGAGGCTCCCTGGTTTACAGAGCTAGTTTCAGGACAGACTCCAAAGCTACAGAGAAACCCTGTCTCGAAAAAAAAAAAAAATCAAATTTGTTTGTGTGTGTGTATAGTTTGATATGTAATATGTGATCTAAGAGGTAATGACACTATAAGAACCCAACAGATTATTTTGTTGGTAAAATAGAAGCCGATGAAATGATGTGACTAGTAAATTCATTCTATAAATTATTTAAAAAATTTTTATTATACTTATTTTTAATTTACTTTCAATGTGTTTGTATATGTGTGTATACACATGGTGTCAGAGGACAACTGGATAGAGTCAGTTTTCTTTTTTACCATATGAAATTTAGGGATGAAATTTAGGTTGTCAGTCTTGGTGGCAGGTGCCTTTTCCCGGTGAGTCATCTCATTAGCCAAATAAACTCTAACAGTAGGAAGACACGAAGTGTCCATATTTCTAACACAGTGCACTTGTTTAATGATCTCATTAGAACCCTACTTAGTATTGGGACTGGTGGAGCATGGCTAGCTCTTGAGGGTTGGAGAAACAGCCCAGCCAGCACTTAAGATTGTTTGCAGATGCTGGGCAGTGGTGGCTTACGACTTTGAAATCAGCACTCAGGAGGCAGAGGCAAGCAGATCTCTGTGATTCTGAGGGCGGCTTGGTCTACTGAGTGAGTTTCAGGATAGCCAGGGGTACACAGAGAAACCCTGTCTCAAAACTAGCAAACAAAGGATTGGTTGGTGTTCTTACAACATATGCAATCTGGTTCTCAGTACCCATATTAGGTGGTTCACAACTATCTGTAACTGCAGTTCTAGGGGATTGTACACCTTCTGGCTTCTGTTAATATCCACACTCTCATACACATGTACAGACACATACACACACAATTAGAAATAAAATAAATTTATGGCATTAGGGAGATGGCTCAGTGATTAAGAGTATTGGCTGTTTTCGAGAGGATCGGAGTTTGATGGCAGCTCACAGCTATGTATAGCTCCAGTGCTAGGGGATCGGACACCTTCTTCTGGCTCCCAAGTGCACCAGGCATTTGAATGGTACATAGACATACATGCAGGTAAAACACCCATGTAGGACAGGCAGTAGTGGCACACACCTTTAATCCTAGTACTTGGGAGGCAGAGGCAGATCTCTGTGAGTTCAAGAGCAGCCTGGTCTACACAGATAGCTCCAGGACAGCCAGGGATATACGGAAAAATCCTGTCTCAAAAAATCAAACCAAACCATAAAAATACCTGTGCATATAAATAAATTTAAAAATAAATCTTAAAAAAGAAATTATGAAAGAAAAGAGAGAGAGAGAGATTAAAAAAAGAGAGAGAGATTATGTCCAGGCAGTGGTGTTGCCTTTAATCCCAGCAAAGGCAGCTGGATCTCTGTGAGTTTGAGGCCAGCCTAGTCTACAAAGTAAGACCCAGGATAGCCTCCAAAGCTACAGAGAAACCCTGTCTTGAGAGAGAGAGAGAGAGAGAGAGAGAGAGAGAGAGAGAGAGAGAGAGAGAGAGATTGAATTATGAAAAACCCCAGGCTGCTGTGGGAGAATGGAGCTGTGCCTTTCATCTGAAAGTCTCTACGTCTGCTTCCCAAATACTATGATTATAGGCCACCCATATCACCACGTGTGGCTTTCAGGTGGAACTTTTATGTTTAGTTCATATGATGAATGACATAAATCAATGTAAATACTTAAAGGGATTTATTAGGAAAACAAAACAAACCTATGTAGTTGTTCTAAATAACAATGATTCCAAATTCTTTAGATAGATGTTTCTAGACAAATTTCATGGAAAATATCCTTCAGGAATATCAGCCACTTGCACAGAAGGAAGCTGGTATAGGAGATCTTATAGCAACCTACAGAACAATGGAAATTCCTTACTTCTACAGACTTTTGAGTTTAGCAGTCTAGTGATGGTACTAAATAGGTTATAAGGCCACAACTCAGGTTGCCTAGGGCTGGGTCATCAGCCACCTAGATCATGTGTAGTTCTACCATAGGGCTTCTATATGCCATGAACTTAGGGAAGGTACTAGATACAAGATAAGGTGAGGCTGGTCCCCCAACTCATTCATTCTTTTGGTTTGAGACAGATTCTCACAATTCACCACACTCAAATGGATCCAAACCATGTAGCTGCAGATGACAGATCCTATTCCTCTTGCCTCTATCTCTGGAGTTAAATTAGGATTACAGGTGTGTCACCATGTCTAGTAATCTTACTGTTTACATCTTTTTATGTTGAAGAACACAAGATAACATATTTTGACAATTTCTCTCTCTCTCTCTCTCTCTCTCTGTGTGTGTGTGTGTGTGTGTGTGTGTGTGTTCCTGAGTGCAAGTGGTCACAGAAGCCAAAGAAATCAGATCCTTCCCTGTAGCTGGATTTAGTAGCAGTCAAGAAGCACTCAATGTGGGTGCTGGGAATCAAAATTGAGTTCTCTTAAGCGCTGAGCCAGCTTTCCAGCTCAAATTTTATAATTAGCACTGAGATGGCAGAAACAGATTTTCTTCAGTTTAACAATACTGCCTTAAGCTGGGCAGTGGTGGCTACTGCCTTTGATCCTTTATCTCGGGAGGTAGAGGCAGAGGCAGGAAGATCTCTGTGAATTCAAGGCCAGTCTAGCCTAAAGATTGAGTTCCAGGACAGCCACAACTCTTACACAGAGAAAACCTTTCTCGAAAAACAAAAACCAAACAAACCAAAACAATTCAAAAACCCAAAAGAAAAGACAATACTGCTTTAAATCTATTTTATGTGCATTAGTGTTTTACCTGCATGTATGTATGTATAAGGGAATCGGATCCCCTAGGAGTTAAGATAGCTGTGGGCTGCCCTATGTGTGTTTGCGCGCTGGGAATCGAACCCCGGTCCTCTGGAAGAGCAGCCAATGCTCTTAACTGCTGAGGCATCTCTCTCTGCAGCCCTATTTATTTATTTTATTTTATTTATTCATTCATTCATTGGCAGAGGTGTCATTCTGTCTTTTACATTGGTCTCCATGTCATGGCAATCTCTGGCCTCAGTCCGCAGCGTGCTGGGATTATGATATTACACGCATCACGCCTGACTTCAAGGCAGACCCTTGGGTCTTTCCCCTCCAGCCCTATGCCACCTCGACTGTGCCTCGTCCTGGAGAAAAGACCTTTCTCCAATCTGTTGCAGCTCCTTCACTGCCCTCCCAGTGCCAGGGAGAGCCCTCCCAGTGCCAGGGAGAGCAGCGGAAGTCGCTCACCCGCAGACCGGAAATTGCTCACTCCCCGCGCCCGTCGCTACAGTCTTGGCGGGGTGTGGAGCTGTCACAGGGTCTGGTGGGCCCAGTGGCGGCGGCCCTGGGGAGGGCGCGGTCGGTCCACAGCGGCCTTCCGCGGCCTTGGCACCTGGGTAGGCCGCAGCTGCGCGCGGGGTGTGGCGCGGGCCGTGGCGCGGGCTAACGGGAACCGTGAGCCCTGCACTAATTGGAGTCGACTCGGCGCTGGAGGGATCGGCGAGAAATGGCGGACGAGGCGTTGTTTTTGCTGCTCCATAACGAGATGGTGTCCGGAGTATACAAGTCCGCCGAGCAAGGGGAAGTGGTGAGTGCCGCCACGCACCCTGGGGTCCTGCGGGACGCTTGCTGCCGTTCCTCTTGCGCCCCGCGGCCGCAGGCGCCCATTAGGATAGACCCAACTGGTCCCCCTCGAGGCATCCCACAGCTATAATAACCTGTGTGTCTACTGTCTCCTCCGAGATTTTTTCTCTCATCCCTTTCTGTTTTGTGCTTTCAGTTTGGTGTGTTGGTGTCCGTGTGTGCCTTTGAGTGCATGCCGCAGATTTTTTTTTTATAATTGGCCCTATGAGGATTCACCAGGAGGCTAACTGCAGAGCAGCTGATTTTGACATACCTAATTAATTTTCCTGGCGCTCCCCGCACTTCGAGAGGCCCACTACAGCTATCCCAGGGAGACTCTTCGCCCACCTTTCTCAGGTCTTGATTCACAATACCACTCCATACAATTCCAGGGCCGGACCCTGATGAACTTAGGAGTTAAAGCATAGGAAACTCAGCAATTTTTTTTTTTTTTTTAGCAATAATTATGAAACTACTTAAAATATTTTAAGAATTTGGTTAATAGTGAATGACATCGTGACCCCATCCTTCTGGAGGTTACATATAATGTGGAAATTCTTATTTCCTCATGATTTTTCTATTTAGTGGTTCTGGACCTTCTAGATAAAGAAGATTTAAACCCTTCCCTCAGACTTTAGGGGATAGAATTTAGTTAGTTGTTAATGTATTGGGTCGCAGTTAGGCATAAAATCACAGAAAGTTACCGAATTTTAGAAATGAGACAATCTGAAGTCACCTTTTTTTTTTTTTTTGAGACTGAGTCTCACTCTTTAGCCCTGGTTTGCCTGGAAATCAATTTGTTGATCAGGATGGACTGGAACTCACAGACATCCTCTTGACTTTGCTTCCCAAGTGCTGTCATTAATGGCTTATGCTGACACACCTGGCAGGAGCCCCTTTTTTAACCTGTTGATGAAGGGGTGAAGGCTACGGAATAGAATTATGAAAGAATAGGGACTTTGTTTTTGAGACAGGCTCTGGTTGGCTGGCCTGGAATTTGCTTTGTAAACTAGGTTGGCTTCAGACTCACAGAGATCTGCCTGCTTCTACTTCCCAGGTGTTTCTCAGTGGGGGACTTAAAGTTAGGGAATGGTGTGGTTCATTTGCTTGTTATGAAGAGAGCTCAGTGTCTCCTGAACTCCCCTTAGCAACAGTTGCAGAAAGGTGTTCCACAACTGGCACTGAGTTTTTTGTTAGCATGTGGCTCTGGGGTGAGCATTATCTCCTTAAGCGGTGTTACTTAATTGAAACATGGTGTGTGTGTGTGTGTGTGTGTGTGTGTGTGTGTGTGTGTGTGTATGTATGTGTGTATGTGTTTATTCTAGTGTCATCTTGAATTTATTTTTTAGCATTTCAAAATTGTCATTATACTACCAGCAGATGACTCTCCTGTTAAAGGTGCTTGTTGCCAAGTCTGAGACCCTGACTTGGATTCCTGGAACCCACATGATGGAAGGAGCAAAGCAACTCAGTTTGTCCAGATTCCCAAATGTACATTGTGAGCATGGCACCCATCTCTCCCCCCCCCACACACACACACCATGTAAGACAAATTTAGGGCTGTTAGGTTGTTTACTAACAAAGATGCCTGCTGCTAAGCCTGAGGACCTCAGTGGTATTCACGTGGTGGAAAGAGAACTGGAACCTGCAGATTGTCCTTTCACTTCTACCCGTGTGCCATCACGGGCCCCTCCAGATACTTACAGTAAAATGTTTAAGTAAGAAGTTGTTAATAAAAGTTTTGTTGTGAGAGTCTACCTGTTTATTTAGTTTTTAAGTTATTGTGAATTTGTTTCCCCCCTGGTTTTTTTCTTTGTAAGTGGTATATAGAAATGGTGCTTATTAAAAAAACAATGTTTGTGTCTGTGTGTGTCTGTGTCCCTGAGTGTGCCTTGTGAGTGTCATAGTGCACATGTGGAGGTCAGAGAACCCCTGGAGTCATTTCTCTCTTATCTAGCATGGCTCCCATGGGTTAAGTCATCAGGGTTGGTGGCAAGTACCTTTACCTGCTGAGCCATCATTCTGGCCTCTGATTTCTGTTTTAAAATATAGATGTCTTAGAATTCTAAGAGTCTTCAAAACTTTTTTTTTTTTTTGATAGGAAAATGGACGATGTATTACTAAGCTGGAAAACATGGGGTTCCGAGTGGGACAAGGATTGATAGAAAGGTGAGCAGTATGTATTTGAAAATTTTCTTCCAGGTAGGTTATGAACACAGAAGTTCGATTTCAAATCATTACAGAAAACTTGAGATATTTTGATTTTAATTTTTAATTCTTTTCTATTGTAGTTAACAGATGGCCCTGGGTTCTACCACTGGGAAAAAAAAAATTCTCTTTAGATATGATGCTAGGAGCTGGATAGATGGCTCAGTGGTTAAGAGCACTGACTGGTCTTCCAGAGGACCTGGGTTCAATTCCTAGCACCCACATGATTGCTCACAACTGTCTCTAACTCCAGTTCCAGGGGAGCCAACACTCTTACACAGATATACATGCAGTCAAAACACCAATGCATATAAAATAATAAATTATAGATCTGATGCTACTGCTGGGCATTGGTGGCTCACCTTTAATCCCAGCACTCGGGAGGCAGAGGCAGGTGGATCTCTGTGAGTCCTAAGCCAGTCTGGTCTACAGAGCGAGTTCCAGGACAGGCTCCAAATCAATGCAGAGAAACCCTGTCTCGAAAAACAACAACAAAAAAAAAAAAAAAAAAAAAAAAAGCAAAAAGATCTGATGCTAGTTTAATTCTGTCATTCAGGTTTTATTATTTTTGTTTATGAAAGTGGCCTTGCTATTCTTCCTGTCAGATCTCTGAGTACTGGGATTAGAACCATTCTCTACTGTGCCTAGCTTCAAATGTTATGTTTTCATAATTGAGGAAGGCCTATTTTACATAGGTGATTTTTTTTTTCTCCCCTGAAAATGTTAATATATTGAGATACTCATTTACAGCCTGATTGCATTTTCTGCTTATGGCTTAGTTGGTTTTTAAAAAACTGAATAGAATTTTGTTTAATTGCATAGAAATGCCTTAAAGTCTATGTTCATGGACTACTTCTTTCTTTTGCTTTTTTCTATACCTTTCTGAATATCTAAATAGTTGAATTTAGATTAGATTAAATTTTACATAAAACTCTCCAGTTGTGCTATATACTTTTTTTTTCAAGACAGCCCTAGCTGTCCTGGAACTTGCTCTGTAGACCAGGTTGGCCTCTAATTCACAGAGCTTTGCCTGTCTCTGCCTCCCGAGTGCTAGTATTAAAGGTGTGTGCCATCACTGCCTGGCTATTTATTTATTTATTTATTTATTTATTTATTATTTATTGAGGTAGAGTTTCATAGTGTAGCCCAGCCTCCCAACCTGCCCTGGAACTCACATAGTCCAGGTTAACTTCAGACCTGTGGAGACCTCACTTAAGCCTCCAGAGTGCTTGGATTCTGGGCACCAACCACCATGCCCAAATAAGCATTTTTGTTGTTTTCACGTGCTAGTTTGAATTCTCACTGAAAGTATGGCTGACTAATAACTAATAGAATCTTGAGCCACATAATTATGTAACATACTGTAAATCCACTTGGCTGAGACTTTGCTTGGTGCTTGTTTATCATTGTATGACTGTCAATAAATGTTTAGTGCTTGTGGTGTTTAGAAATTAGTTAATAATTTGCCCCTTGTTAGAAAAATATTCCCCCTTTGTTTTCTTTGGAAGAAATACATTGTATTACTTCTAGTTGATCTTCTTAGGTTTACAAAAGATACTGCAAGGTTCAAGGATGAATTAGACATCATGAAGTTTATATGTAAAGATTTTTGGACTACAGTATTCAAGAAACAAATTGACAATCTAAGGACAAATCATCAGGTATTTAGATAAATCTTTTGTTGTTTTGAAGACCTATTTTTAAAGTCACTTAAAGTGAATGTCCTTCTTATCACGTATTTACTTACTTGTTGCCATGACGTATGTGTGAATGTAGCTGCTTTCCTGGCACAGTGAAGTGACAGGGCGGCTTCTGGGAGTTCACGGGATCCAGTGAGATTGTGAGGCTTGTGCACAAGTGCTTTTACCTGCTGAGCTATCTTTGTTGCCCTTAGTTTACTTATTGAAATTAATCTTTTTAAGGATTTATTTTTATGTTCATAAGAGCACCTTGTGCATTCAGTGGCCAGAAGAGCGTGTTGGATTCCTTGTAGCTGGAGTTATAAAAGGTTGTGAGCTTTAGTGTGTTTGCTAAGCACTTAACCTGGGTCCTTTGCAAAGATTTCAAGTGATTTTCATAGCTGAGCCATCTCACTCTCCAGCCCCCTAGAACTCTTTTTTTTTTTTTTTTTTTTTTTTTTAAACAGGTGGTGATGGTGGTGAGGGGAAGATAACTTCATGTTTTACTAATGTTATTGATAAGTCAGTCTTTTTCTCTAGTAGGGTAAAGTGAATTAGGAGGAAGTAGTTATCAGTAACTATAACTGTTTCTTTCCTCTAATTATATAAGTTGTGTTAAAATTAAAATGTAGCAACAGGAGACAGAGGCAGGTGGATCTCTAAGTTTGAGGCTAGCCTGGTCTACATAGTGAGTTCCAGGACAGCCAGAGCTACACAGAGAAACCCTGTCTTGGGAAAAAAACAAACAAAAAAACAAGTTGAAAATGGGGCTGGGAAGATGGCTCAGTGGTTAAGTGCCTGTATTGCTCTTCTGGAGTAAATGAGTTTGGTTCTCAGTGCCCATAACAGATGTCTCACAAATTCTTGAAATGACTGCTTCAGGAGGATTCTCTGTGTCTGGCATTTTTTGGAATCCACATGCATGCATGCATACATACATACATACTTATAAACACATAATTAAAAATAAAATAACCCATCTGGGCATGGTGGCACATGCCTTTAGTCCCAGCACTTGAGAGGCAGAGGCCATTGAAAAGCTGAGCTTGAGGCCAGTCTACATAGCAAGTTCTAGGACAGTTAGGGTTATACAACAAACAAACAAACAAACAAACAAAACAAAATAACCCTCTATCAGTGGGCAAAGAGACACCCCTTTTTGGTAGTTTTTTAGAGCTGGGGCTTTCTGCATTCCAGTTGGCAGGAACGTCATTCATGGCAGTGACTCAGGGAAAAGTGCTGAGAAAGACAACAGTCTGTGGTTTAAACCTGAGTAACTCATTGCTTACAAGTTTGTGTGACTGGGTCTATGAGTAGCTGCGGACAAAACGACCTTTTAGCGTTACTGGAGGGTCCCTGGACACAGCTCTTCATTCCACTGACCAGAAATTATAAAATGGGCCTTCTTTTCCAATAAAACTGTTAGAACTGGGAACAACATCTTTAGAATGTGGCACAAGAGTAATTGGTTTAGGAATGATTCTTTATCATTCAGTAAATATGATAGTATTCAGAGTCAAACTATATCATATTTATATCTTTAGAATAACTTCTAAAGCCTAATTCCTAGGCCATATTTAACTCTTAAATAACTTGCTTTGGTTTGGTTAGAGAGATGGCTCAGTGTTAAGAGCGTGTACTATTATAACAGAGGCCCTGAGTTCAGGTCCCGGTATCTCTGTCAGGTGCTCACAACTGTCTATAATTCCAGCTCCAGGGGATCTGATGTCTTTTCTCTTCTCAGTGAGCAGCTGCACTCATGTGCACATTCCCATACACAGATACATACAAACTTTTTTTTAAAATATTTTTTAAGACAGGGTTCTCTGCCTACCAGCCTTAGATGTTCTGGAACTTGCTTTGTTTAACAGGCTAGCCTCAAACTCACAAAGATCTGCCTGCCTCTGCCTCCTGAGTGCGAGGTGTGTACCACCATCGCCTGGCCCACACAGTTTTTAAAAAAATGAATCTTAAAAAAGAACTTGTTTGGATGTGTTCTTTTTGTTTATTCATTGACTCATTTACTTATGTATCTGTCTAACTACCTACTTACCTACCTGTCTTATCTATTTTATCTATTTGGGTGTTGAGACAGAGATCCACTCTGTATCCCAGGCTGCTGACTTTGTGATGAAATCACAGCCATGGGAAACTACACTCACCAAGGGTAGGGTAATTTCTAAAGACTGTAGACTACACTGACTTTTGATACTATTTCTTGATTTTTAAAACAGGGCATTTATGTACTTCAAGACAACAAATTTCGACTACTTACTCAGCTGTCTGCAGGAAAACAATATTTAGAACATGCATCAAAGGTATTTAATAGAATTTGGTTTTGTACGAAAACAAAAATAGAATTAACAGGGAAAATTACAAAACCAATCATAGCAGATTGAAATTGAACATAGTAATTTCAACAACTCATTGGAAATCCCATACCCATGTTCTTAAGTGATCCTCTTTTGTTTAAAGTAGATTTTCTTTCTTTCTTTCTTTTTTTTTTTTTTTTTAGATATTCTACTTTATTATTTTGCATGTATGAGTGTTTTGCCTGTTTATATGCTGTGCACCATATATGTGCCAATGCTTGAGGAGGTGGTGAGCTTCCATATACGTGTTGGAAATTGAATTCCTGTCTTTTGTAAGACTAACAAGTGGCTTAACCATTGAGCCAACTTTCTAGCCCCCTCTTTTTTTCTTAACCTGAATGTTAAAAATCTATATTAAAAAAAATATCTCATAATCAACTGTTTTGCCGGTGGTGTCAAGTCAGTGGCACATGCCTTAAATCCCAGCACTCAGCAGGTAGTGGTAGGCCTGTTTGATTGAGGCCAGCCTGGGCTACAGAGTGAGTTCCAGGACAGCCAGGGCTACACAGAGAAACCTCATCTCAATAAAACAACAAACAAGTAAGTAAGTATACTGTTTCAATAAATAGTAATTTTGCTTATACCATTTGGTTTAAGCCATTTTCTATGAAACAGAAGACTTGTTGACTGTTAGCTCCTGAGTACCTGAGTAGGGCTATAGAGACCAATAAGAGAGACACTCAGTACCAGTGAATGTAGACATACTCCAGATTCTTTAATATGGTGTTGTTACCGAAATACAGATACTCAGACACAGACATTAGCTGTACAGAATGTGTTACCTCAGAGCTTCTCATCTCCTTTGGTAGGCTAAAATGTTTAAGAAGTATAATTGTCATTTGTTTCTAAAAGTTTGTTTCATGTTAAGTATATCTGTATTTCTAGGGTTTGTGTGGATTTTGCCTTTAATCATAAGTCAATGAGTAAACAGATGCATTAAAGAACCTAACACACTTTAGGGGGTTTTGTTTTTGGAGGAGAGACAGGATATCACTTTGTAGATTGTCTGGTCTGAAACTTCCTGTGTAGACCAGGCTCTCCTGGAACTCACAGAGATCTGATACCTCTGCCTCTTAAGTGGTGGTATTAAAGGCCTATGATGTCACCGTGCCTGACAGAATAACAGATTTTAATATAAGGATTCCTTTGAAATAATTAAAGTATCTAGTCAAGTATAATTTGCTATTTATCTGTAAATATTTGTTTTCTTCAGTTTTCTATTAATGCCTTAAAATTGTCATACAAAGGTAATAGGTTTCATGATTCTTCTCTCGTGTATGCTTTGTTCTTATTGGCCCTCCCCCTCCCCTTACCTCTTCTTGTTTGCCTACCCCTGCTGACCTCCTACTCCTAATAGCCTTCCTTCTGTCTTTATGTCTGAAGTACTACATTGTCCTCTTCTAAAAAAGAAATTCCTCCCATATATGAAATAGTTTGCAAATACAGTGAATTTACACTTCAAGCATATACACATACACACACACACACTTTTTTTTTATTATTCACATTTTAGTGTTTTTAGTTCTCACTTTGAGGCATCTTAGTTTCTTTAGTTGTGAAGAATGGTTAAAGATTTTGCTGGGGGACTGGATTGATGGCTCAGCAGTTATGAGCACTTACCACAAAGCCCAGGCTGGTCTCCAACTTGTAGTGATCTGATCCTTTTACCTAAGTCCACTGAGTGCTAGGATTACAGATAAGCCTCATCACTAGGCTTTAAGTCTTAAACAAGATGAGATATGTTTGGTTGTGGGACGTTGGATATGTTGGCATGCTTGTAATTCCAGTGCTTGGCAGACAGAAGCTGGAAGACCAGGAGTTAACTACATGGGAAGTTTGAGGGCCTGGTTGATCTACATGAGAGCCTGTCTCAAGGGATAAAACAAAAAACAAACAAAACACACACACACAAGGAAAAAAAGCAGTATTGATAGGAAGGCCGATAAAATAGGTAAGAAATTAAGGAGACCTCAGTGACTAGGAAAAGAACTAGTTAAGTATTGTGCTAAGTGTCTAGTTAGATCCCTGTGCACAGCCTGGAGAACACAAGCTAACTTTGTTGTTTAACTAAAAACCTAGCTCTCTGTTTTTGTTACAATATCTGTGCTGTTACTTTCTTTTTAGTTAGAGGTGGCATGGTGCGGGGACTCTATGTTGCCCAAGTTGGTCTCCGATTCCTGCCTCAAGATATGATTCTTGTTCCTTAGCCTGAAGAGCTGAAGTACAGGGGTATACCACCAGTGGCTTTTCACACCTCCCCCAATCCTCCCTTTTGTTTTTTTGAAACACCATCTTGTTGTAATTTTTTGAAAAAAAAAAAAAAGGCTCAAGAGAGAAAGATGCCGTGCAACAGAGTTCAAGTGGAGGGTTTATTAGGGGAAAGAGATCATAAAAAGGGGAAGGGGAGAGGAGAGACGGGAGAGGAGAGACTGACCTCAAAGGACAGGAGAAGCAGGAGAGAGAAAGGAGAAAGAGGGAGAAGAATAGAGATAGAGGGAGGGAGAAGGATAGAGATAGACAGAGGGAGAGAAAGAAAGAGATGGGAAGTGGACAGGGCCTTTGACAAGGGAACATAGTGAATGTGCACAGGTGGTGGTCTTAGTGGCTGCAGCTGAGCTCTATCCTGTGAGAACCACAAGGCCAGGCCAGTACAGATGCTTAAGTACTAACAGCTCTCACTATGTGCCTCTGGCTGTTTTTCTCACTGAGATAGATCAGGCTGGCCTTTAACTCAGAGATGAGCCTGCTTCTCTTTGCTAAGTGTTGGGATTAACGACCAGCTTCACAACTTACTTCACTTCTTACTCCTGCCTTTTCCTCTTCTTCCTTGTTTGTCCTCCTTTTTAAATACAGCAATGATGTGTTGATATCGCAGCTTAAATCAATTCCGTGTTTACCAATTGCTTATTGGTTTACTAAAACCTTACCATTTTTTGTATTCCCCCCCCCCTTTTTAGTATCTAGCATTTACATGTGGCTTAATCAGAGGTGGCTTGTCAAACTTGGGAATAAAAAGTATTGTAACAGCTGAAGTATCTTCAATGCCTGCCTGTAAGTTTTTCTATCTTACATATGTTTTAAGTAATTTTTCAGGTCTTTTTCTTTTAAATGTACAGGGAACTAAAAATGCTGAAACTTTCATTTTAGTATCACTTATTTCACATTTATTTTAGAATATGTTTCACTCAAGGTACTAAGAACAAAAATTAATTTTCACTGTATTATTTTTCTGTCCACTGACAAATTAGTAATCTCCAAACATAGTTACTCACGACTTTAATCCCAGCTCTGAGGAAGCAGAGGCAGGCAGTCTTTGTGAGTACAAAGCTTGCCTGGTTGGGTCTACATAGTGAGCTCCAAGCCAGGGTTACATAAGGAGACTCTGTCTCAAAATGGGGGGATGGGGGAGGTGAGACAGAGAGACAGACCCAGGATGTAGGAAAGACACCTCATAAACTAGACAATCACCCAATGGAATAGGGTTTATTGAGTACCTTAAGGAGTGTAAAAAGACCTTTTGACATTGCAAGTTCTTTGAGTAAAACTACTTCCTGAATGGAAAAGAATATGCTTGTTTTCCTTATGCCTGAAATCAAAGAATAATTGTTCTGTGTTCCAGGCAAATTTCAGGTAATGATACAGAAGCTGTAGAGTGCACTGAAACACAAGAGAGAAGACTCCTGTGCAAAGTATTCAAGTTCTGATGTCACCTTGTCATTGCTGTTGATGCTAAAGCAAAGGTGTTCTCTTACCAGATTCACATAGACCAAATCAGAGTCGATAAAAGGTCTTCCCACCATGATATAAACTAACTGAACTGTTTAGTGATTTCAGTGAACTAGACACCAAGATGTAAGTTCTTTATTTTAGACATCTTTATTTCCTAAGTGTGATATGTATGTAACCATAGATTGAGAAGTGAAACTCAGGGTGTGTTGAATTACTGTATATAAAAATATGCACCAATCAGAATAGTTTGTATTCAAATGACCAAAATTTGTTAAATCTGTTTTAGTTATTTAAAAAAAACAAGCCACTATGCTAAATTAAGCTTAATTTTTATTGTATTTATAATTTATTTCTGTTAAGAGAATTTGTATGCTTATATAAGGATTTCATTTATACATTATATATATGTATATATATAAATACATATGTTACTCTCTAAATTGCTTGAGAATTCAATTTTACTTTAATAGATTTCAGTCCTTGAGATTAATCAGAGTAAATCTAGATTAGTTGGTAACTCTGATGCCAGAAAATATTAGGTATGCTGAGTAGTAATTTTTATACTTACTCTTGTTCACATGTTATCCTTTGAAAAATATTTCATTTTAGTGTATGTGTGCGTGTGTGTGTGTGTGTGTGTGTGTGTGTGTGTGTGTGTGTGGTGTGAATTTTTCTATCTGTTCTGTTGATGAAACTTAGGTTGATTCCATAAGTTAGCACTTATAAGAATGATTTATTAATTTGGAGCCTTTCAGGTAAATACCTCAGTGCTGTAGTTGGACCACATAGTAGGTCTTTTTTGAGGAGCCTCCATACTAGCGGAACAAATTTAATTCTCAGCACCACCATTTTCATAGCATAACCAGAATTTGTTTTCTTGTTAAATCAGTGCCAGGCTGCCTCTGAGATGGGATCTCAAGTTTTCAGTTCTCTCCTGACTGGTGGTATTGAACACTTCTTATTATGATTACTAGTCATTTGTACCATCTTTTTGAGAACTATATACTCATTCCATTAGTTAATGTGTATTTTGTTATTTGTAGCCAAAAAAAGCAAACAAACAAAAAAACAAACCAAACTTCTTTTAGTAAAAACAAGGAGAAAGTTAAGTTATAAGGAAAACTGAATATGCTTTTTCTTGAGGTTATAGCAGACTTAAAAGGTTTACATTGCCAGGTGATGGTGGTGCAGGCCTTTAGTCCCAGCATTCGGGAGGCAGTCAGACAGATCTCTGTGAGCTCCAAAGCTACACAAAGAAACTCTGTCTTGAAAAACCAAAAGAAAAAAAAAAGTTTATGTATAAAAATAAAGTCATAGCTGGGTGGTGGTGGCACAGTCCTTTAATCCCAGCACTCGGGAGGCAGAGGCAGGCAGATCTCTGTGAGTTCGAGGCCAGCCTGGCCTACAAATTGAGTTCCAGGACTGCTGGGGCTGTTACACAGAGAAACCCTGTCTCAAAAAACGAAAAGACAAAAACAACAAAAAAGTTCTGTATATATTGGGCTTGGAGAGATGGCTCAAAGGTTAAGAGCAATGACTGCTCTTCTAGAAGTTCTGAGTTCAATTCCCAACAACTGCATGGTAGCTCACAACCATCTATAATGAGATCTGGTGCCCTCTTCTGGCATGTAGGCATACATTTGGGCAGAACACTATATATACCTAATAAAATCTTTTAAAAAAGTCATAAAGTACTACAGAAAATATGAGGTTACTTTTATGATCTTCTGGTAAAGGTCTTTCCAAAACAAAAGTAGAAAAATGGTAAAGGAAAATAGCAAAAACCAAACTAAACCAAAACAAAAATCCGTAAACATCTATATTGGTTAGGTTTCCATTGTTGTGATAGAAAACTATGGCCAAGAGCAGCTTGGGCAGGAAAGGGTTTATTTGATTTCCATATCTCTAGCCACAGGAACTGAAACAGAAGCCATGGAGGCATGATGCTTACTGACTTGTTCCACTTGTTTTCATACACAATCCAGGACCATCTGCCTGGGCCTTCTCGTGTTAGTCATTAATCAGGAAAACAACCCACAGGCGTGCTTACAAGCCAGTTTTTTCTCAATTGACTTGTTTTTCTTCCTAAATGACTTTAGCTTATGTCAAGTTGACAAAAAATCTAACCAGCACATCTCTTCTACAAATGCCTGGAAAGTAATACACATATGCAAAAGACTGAAACAGCATCATTATACTAATACTACACACAGTAATCAACCAGGGTGGATTAAAGACTTAAACATAAAAACTGAAAAACTGGCCTTGTGATGTGGTTCAGTTAGTAGAGTACTTGCCTAGCATTCCTGAAGTCCTAAATCCCATCACCAGGAATGTATAAATGGCATGCATGCACACAATACCAGCACTCAGGAGGTGGAGGTGGAGTGGGGGTGGGGTTAGAAATACAAGGCCATATTCAGCTACGTAAGATCCTGTCTCAAACAGAACAATAAGTTCTATAAGAGATGAAGAAAGCATAAAATGGGTCCTGGTAATAATTTCTGGGCTTGCCAATGCTGAGCAGGGGCAGCAGAAGACGGAAGATAAACCTGGAGAAGCTGCATGGCCAAGGCCTTGAGAATAAGCAGCCCAGTAGACTAAAAGAAAATAACTCAAACATCTAAAGGTACATAAAGAGCTTCTACAACTCAGGGCTGTGATTGCTGCTGAATTGCCCAGGATCCATATGTGGTGTGGGAATAACCCTAATTGAACTCAGTGGGTGATTAAAAAAAGACATGTAAGGAAGGGGGTGGTGTTGGGAAGAATGAGGGTCCTGGAGGGAGAGGGAGGGTGAAGAATGTGGGATGAATTTGATCAAAATACATTATATACATATATGACATTGTCAAAAATATTTTTTCGTCCTTAAAAAGAGCTCTTATAACTCAGCAGAAAACAGCCTGATTGAAAACAGCTAGGACTGAATAGACATTTTCTCCAAAGAAGGAATACAAATGACCATATGAGTATGAAAACATACTCAGTGCTGAAATGCTCAACGTTGCACAGGAAAACACAAACAGAACCATAACATATTACTTCACAGTGCTTAGTGTGGCCAGTATAAAATATAATATGATTGATGTGTGTGCCTGTGAAATAAAATATGTTGCTGACAATGTAGAGACATTAGATCCCTTGATCCCTTGTGTACTCTTTAGGATATAAATTAGTTCAGCTATCTGCTATAGAAAGCAAAAAGTGGGGGGAAAATTACAAGCAGTATTCTCCTTTCCACCACGCAGCTGGCTAAGCTTTTGCTGTACTCAGGAACAAATTTTGAGATGAGATCCTAAAAACAAAAATTCATTGTAAATTATGGGTGCACACACATATACATATACACATGAATATATACCTATATAGTGTTAACAGCCTCATGCAGGCCTCAGGGACTTTGACTCGATGTGTTAGAGATCTTGTGTTGAAGACACACAAACACACAATACATATATACATGCCTATACTATACACACACTCTTATATCACTCATATTGTATACTGGCCACCCTAAGCACTGTGAAGGAATATTTGTGTTTTCCTGTGTAATGTTGAGCATTCCAGCACTGAGTATGTTTCCACATTCATTTGTTCATTTGTATTCCTTTGGAGAAATGTCTATTTAGTCCCAGCTAGCTACTGAGTGGTAAGAAGTGGAGATTCCTCAGTTTCTGGCTGCAGTTAGCATCACAGCTTACCCTAGGCCTAGATAACAGGATCTCTTAGCCCTGAACAGCAGTGAGTGTTTTAGGGCTTGTCTAGGTCTGTAAGTCAAGATTCCTTAGCCTGTAAAATATAAATACATTAGCACTTTTGGCTCAGGTTCTCCCATTGTGACCTTGATAACTAATTCTCCAGTGCTCAAGGCTAGCAGTTCCTTTCTTCTGGCTCTTTCTACTCTTTTAGTCTCAGCTCTCCCTTCAGCCAACAAAAGCATTTTAAAAGCCCAAGTGTTTGTTTTGGCTTCTCGTTTCAGGATATAGTCAGGCCTGGAAAGTCAAGGAGTTAGGAGCTTGAAGCAGCTGGTCAAGTTGTATCTACAATTAGGAAGCAGAGAGATTAAGTCTAGAATCCCCAAGCAGGGATTGGTCCTACCCAGATAAAGTGAGCCTTCCCACCTTAGTTAACCTGATCAAGATAAATCATCACAGACATTCTTGAAGCCTTAATCTGTTTAATTCCTCACAGATGATCCTCCAGGCCTTTCTCCTTTAGGCAATTCTAGATCTTGTCAAATTGATAATTACCATTCCCTCCCTCTGCTGTCATTTTTTTCCTTTTTGCTTTTGAGACAGGGTTTCATATAGCCCAAGCTGACCTCACACTTGATACATACTTGATGTAGCTGGGAGCCTTCAACTTCTGACCCCCCTACCTCCACTCCAAGAGCTGGGGTTGTAAACACCATACCTAGTTTCATATGATGCTGGATCAAACCCAGGGCTTAATTCATGTTGGTCAAAGATTCTGCTAACTGAATTACATCCCCAACCCCTGCTTTTTCCTTTGGGGATGGGTGGGTGGGTCTGCTCAGCCTGCACTACAAAAAAATAGGTCAGAAATGGCCACTCAAGAGAAACTTTTTTTTTCCTAAGGGGTTTCTTTGTGTAGTCCTGGCTGTCCTAGAACTTGCTCTGTAGAACAGGCTGGCCTCAAACTCATAGAGATCTGCTTGCCTCTGCCTCCTGAGTGCTGTGACTAAAGGTGTATACCACCACTGCCTGGCCAGAAACATTTTCTTGATCACAGTGATGCAGTACTAGAGGAGGCAGAGCAGGTGAGTCTTTCAGTTGATCTAAGTGAACCTGCACACACCCACCCACCATCCATCCATCCATAGAAAGGTGTGTGTTTGGACCAATCATAACCATGGAAGCTGTATGCCTGTAGTACCAATCACACCCACAGAGGTTTGCCCTTGGGCCAATTAAAGCCTTGCATTTTTAGCATCTGTCTCAATAGTCTTGCTAGATCGCTGGGAAAGCGTTCCCTCTCTAGCCTAGGTTTCATGGCAAGGCTTGTGATAGCAGACTTCTGCAAATTGTTTCAAACAGTCCTGGCTGAGGCATTGCTTTTAGGATCAAGGGCTATCATCTATAATTGTAGTGCATGTTTTTGAAAAAATATTTAATTTTTTGAGATTATAATATAATCAGATTTTCCTGCTTCCTTTCTCTCACATATTCCCTCCTTACTCTTCCAAATCTATGACCTCTCATTTTTTAAAATTATTTTTTATTTAAGTTAAAAACAATCTTATTTTACATACCAATCCTAGTTCCCTCTCCCTATCCTCCCATTCCTCCTCCCCCATGTCGTCACTTTTCATTAGTTTATATTTAAGGCATCTGAGGAAGCTTGTGCTACCATGTGGGTAGTCTAACAGCTATTTGACTGATAGCTGTTTTGTTCAAGTCAGCCAGGATGATAAGGT